GTAACACAGCAAGATAATTTCAGTAAAATTGGTGTTTTTCGGACACAACTGGTTAAACGGACAAGTCCTGCGGATATAAATACATTTGCAGTAACTTGCGAAGGTGACCGATTCACTTCACCGCTTGCAATTTTAGTTAAAGAGATGTCAAGGGTAAGGGTACTTTTGTCATGATGTTGTGTCAAAATTTTGCTTCCACGAAGTGCATAATGAACTCCAAAGATTAGCACAGAGCCTTGCAATGACATCTGACCTTTTCCTTGAGCTGATGAAGTCGGCTAGCCTACGTAGTCATACACACACAACACCGCAGGTACCCATGTAAGTCACTCAGCCAGAGACTACACTCAGATGAACTGAACAGATTATTCTGAAGTTCCAACGCCAGTTAGGAACTTCAAAAGAGCCGAAATAAGCAACATGCGAATCACGAAAGTGTGGATGGTCAGCTGCCTTGGAATCCCAACTCCGGTAGGCCACGAGCGCTGTTCGGTGTTGCCCTTGTTAAAGAAGGAAACATTACGTCGGTTTTATCTGTCATTAATTTGAGGTAATTGTTTTTTTTCTCTCAGGGTGACCTTATGAAACGGTGCAAAAACTGAAAAATAATTATGAAAAAGTTCGAAGAAGAGCTTCTCCCGCCAAAATTGCGATACGGGGGGTTCGTAGTGGGGAATCATTCTGTGATAGTGAAAAAAATCACTAGTTGGCTGCTGGTTTCGGAAATGCAATAGCTTAGGGTGACCTTATAATTATGAAGCGCAATGTATATCGTAATGACAATATCGACTAAAGGCATCACGAACTCTCAGTTTTTCCTTGTGGGTCACAAGTCCATTCATGGTAGACCTGCTGGCCGACTGAGGCGAACTTCAATGGCGTTCCATCCTTTCCACCAGCAAGAACCTGCAAACAAACACTAAATACCTCGGATCACATCACTGAGAATGTTTTCTTAAAATACCATTATTGGAATAGTCCGGTTATTAGGCATATTTTACGAGTGATCGAATGGAAGAAATTCGGAGAGTGAGGTGGAGAATCAAGTGCAGGATTCTGTCGACCGCACTATTCAAAATGAGGAAAAATGTGCTGAAGACCTGCTTTCGTGGGCGCCCGCTCATCGATAGTCTCCTGAGATGAAATTGATGTGCGTTTCCAGGGTCTTTTGTCTCTCCTTTAATCCATAACGGACGGTGACGTTGTTGCGTGAGCGGACCTGTGTGCCGGCCGGCTTTTTTACCGCCACTCGCGCGTGCGCCACATGGTGGCGCACACAGGCTCACAGGGTAGGTTTTCTGCAAGCTTGCGCTAATGGCGCTGGAAAACCATGTTTTTAAGCCCGAACTTCATGACCTAAAGGGAAATGGAGCTGATGGCATCCATGTAGCCCTCATCCTGATACTTCACTTCAGTGAGAGCAGGTCTAGTGAACCAAAAAAGCTACTCCAGATTCATTTCCCAACACCACAAATCCAGCACCTTTCGGGTAGGGAAGCGACAACTATAGAGAGGTTGTGGATGGAGAACTATTACCAAGCCCATTAGCATATGGAGGAAGTTGGATATGCGACTTTGTGGTATGACAGCACGCCATTTCACCGAGAGAGCTCAGATGAGAGCAGAAGCAACGCAGCTTGCGCGCGGAACCTGCATCGCATCACTTCGAGAAAACTCTGCGCAAGAAAGTTCATGCACATATTTCGTTATTTTTACTTATTTACGAGTTCTCGGTGTTTTGCGCTTCCGGGTATTCTTACGGGTATCCCTATATCGGGTTGCGTGCATTCCTAATCGTACTTTCAGGTATCTCTTTTTCTTTGATTTCCTCTGTTTCTATTTCTATCGTCGCATTTAGCCATGGTTTCTAGGATGCAGGTTTTGAATCTCTAGCTATTTTGGAAATTCTATTGTTACTATTGAAGTGTAGTGAATAATAGGGAGAAATTGTACATTATGATAGTTTTATGGGGAGCGTTGAAGATTTACAAACAATATATTTACAAACAATGAAGCTGTTCCGGTCCTGGAAACATATATTATTCTACCAGGTTGTAAGTATATAATGGTATAATTATTACTCGAAGTGCTGCAAAAATGAAAAAAAAATCATATCGAAGATCGTGCACCACCATGTGGCGGACTCGGTCTGCCAGGCCCGATTAAGCGTGTGCCACCATGTGGCGCACGCCATTATGGGTTGAAGTGTAGGCTCTGTTCTACATAGTCCAGTCTTTTCCCCTGTGCTCAGCTTTTTTGTCGTTATTCAAGTGTGAGGTTTTGCGATTAACCGATTCAACGGTGTTGACCTGCACTGGCTTTGAGGCTCTAGTTGAAAGTGAGGAGCATATGGGCCAGCTCCCACGTCTGTTCTTCTCAATACATCATGGTCCAGACCAATAAGATTAGAAGTAATCAAATCATTTTTGAATTTTCTCAATAGGGAAAGAGGCCCTGGAAACTGTCTTCGAGTTTACATTTCTACCCTGTTTTGAACCACCGGTCAAACGCGCGTTATCTCACTCAGGGCAAGGCCACAGTTATTTTAATTCCGCCGCATAGCGTCACCATGCGCAAATCTGTGAACTCTGCTTGTGCTACTTAGATCCGCGACGAGATTTGTTACGTGGAAACGGAAGGGCATGCGGCTCGCACAGGTGGCGATGAATCACCTTTAATTGAAAATGCTTCGAAGGTCAATCCAAATCAAAAGGCGCGTCATGCTCGCCAAGGACATCGTTTTCCTACATGAAAACGCGCTCGGGTAGACAAAACGTCTTGCGTGAAGATTTCACCTGATTGGTTTAGAGAGATGTTCTTTGACACTTTGATGCCTGGCCCTGACGCGTTCCCGGTCACAAAAAGCGGGTGTGGCTTAAGAGATCAGATCCGCTGAGCGTGGCTAGCGGCTTGACGCATTTCGATGGGAAATTTTGTTGGTGCAGGATCAAAATTTCGTACAAAAAATTGTTGTGGCTTAATAAGTATATAAGAATAGCCTGGTTTTTTGAGAAATGGACTGAAAAGGTGCTATCCATTAGCGTGGGTAAAAAAGTTCCATTGTATTTAATAATAAAATTATTGATTTTGTATATATTTGAGTCATTCAGTTTGTAAAACCAAGCTTTATCTCTTCATATTTATATCTTGACTAAATGTTTACGTATTTAGTCAATATATAAATATGGAGAAATAAAGCAATAGTGCTCACAAATCCTGCATACAGCGGTTAATAAGTTATTGCATTTTTCAGGTTTCCTTAAATTTGAAGCAAGAGACCTAAGCAAACTCTAACCTTGAGAAGGTAGAAAGAAACAGCAGAATCAACGTTGATACATGGTATGAGCCATGCACTCCACTTCCGTCAGGAACCGTAATGGCATTTCGAATACAACTCTCCTATGCAGGGACTAACAATGGCCAGCCGATGTTCAAGTCAGATTTCATCCTCCAAGACGAATCTGATAACAAGTGATCAAATGGAAGGCTCTGTTGGCCAAGACGGCAAAAGACTCTGCGCGATGTAAGCAGCGCTACCTGCCCTACAGTATTTTTACCCAAACTCGGGCATACATATGACATTGTGGGTTCTCTATGATGGCATTACGCCAACTTGAGCTCGAGAGTGTCTCTCCAAGGCCGGGAAAAATGAAAAGGGTTGTGAAAAAGCGCACTGCTATTCCTTCGAGTACTGGTGTACAAGTAGTGCCGCCGACGATCTAGCGGTACATCATTTGCATGTCGAGTAGCCATAGTAAGATTAGTGTAGTGGATAAGCGCAATGACAGGGTATTATAAGTGGGGATCCATTCCTGTCCTATGCCAAGCTTTTCACTGGATACCCTTGTAGTAGATTTCCTTGAATACGCTATGTAGCTAATAGGGCTATCTAAGCATGACCAATGGTAGAGCCCAAAAATGTGCTAACACCAGCCGTCGATTCTGCAAAATTTGCGACCGGTATCGTCCTTCGCTGAGAAATTTCTGGAATTGAAATTGAAAACTTTGAATAGCTGAGCACGTGCTCATAAATCTGATAGGAAAGCAGAGAGTTCAGCATCACAAATATAAGAATGTCACAAACTATTCCATTTGTCCCCTTTTTCCGATTCGGCAGAGCGATTACTGAAGAGGTTTATGCTTTTTTTGACCTTCAATGCTTGACGCCCTTACTCAAACACCAGCGGGATAAAAGTAAGAGTTGCCGTTGCCGTAGCTTCCTGGGTGCCGTAGCTTCCCAAAAACTGTTATATTCGGGAAGAACTTGAGGGAGGTCTCCTTTGGTAGTGTTATTCTGGGCTGAAACGTACGCACAGTCTCTATCTAGAATCTGAGAACTGTTCTTGGGTAAGAAGCAGTCATTCGAGAAGCCATGTGGCTAGTAAGATTTACAAGCTCAAATACTCGGGTTTCGTTTCCTTTGACACCTCCGCCAAAATATCCAAAATGCAAGGACCTAGCTATTCGAACTGACAGGATTAATCCACAAAAATTCTCCAAAGCGGTATATAGCACCACCACGACCATCCCGATTTCATATACTATTCAGAAACCGAGTCATAAAGCTTATTCGAACTACATGTTGCTCTTTTGGCCTCGGGAAACTCACTTCGACCCAGTTCTGCGGATCCCTTTGTCTCGGCAATTGTGTTCCCAGCAAAGTCTCGGGTCAAAAAATCATTGTGAGCAATGGCGTGTCCAAATGTATAACGCAGTAATTGTTCTTCAGAACAGTGTCCCGGCTGCTCAATGACCATCCCAAAAACATTTTACAATGAGATCAGAAGCTGGTTTTGTGGAAAGTAACCCATCTGTAAGTGGATTGCAGTGCTTACCATTAGGGAGGTCTAGAGTGCCCCTAAAACACGTTCCCTGTGGCTCAAGAATCGTTTCAATCACAAGTGAACGAAAGAAAGTATGACCATTTCTTGTTCCTTTCTGAATGACATTCATAAATCTGGCTGACAGAAAGGGATCAGGAAGAAATCTCATCAAGAAAATCAAACATTGAAGATCTCATCAGTAATATCCAACGCAAACACTTTCCGAACCTGTGCAATCGAATCGCGCTGACAATACAAAAAAAGCTGTGCTAAAATGAGCGTAAGCCCAGTGGGAGGCTGTAGTCCATGAAGCTTACGTCAAGTGGTTCGGTCTGCTGCATTTAGCACAGGGACACTTTTCAACCTAAGCACAACTAACAAAATCATGTCTCGAAATACCAGGTCTAAATCGAGATGGTCCTTTGCATTAGAAAAAAATCCACTCATATCAAATAGTCATTATTCCGTAATGTATTATTTCTACTGTTATAAAATAGCTGCTCAATTAATTTTATTTATATTGCTTGAAGATACCAATATGTAGATATCGTGCATCATATCAAGAGTGTGAGTCGAAACTGTCTTAGAAAAAATAGCATTTTTGATCCCTTCATAATTTTTAGATTGTTTTGATAATTTTACTATGGTCTCGCCTTCCGCATAGACTTCGATGAACCGCAGTGGGAGTCGCAGAGAAGAACATTTATCCCAGAAACATTACCCATTAACTTCTAGGTCGCCCCTTGATCAGGGTTAGAAGTAGCGCTGGAAAAAAAAGTGCTCCAATTTCTTATATGGTTCGGTGGAATTAGGTTATGGTTGGGTAGATTAGGTGAAATTTACCTCAAGAGGGTAACGAGCCGGAACATTACGAAATACCAGAAATGTATCATTTTCAATCTGGAGGTATGTAGTCATCTACTTCACTTTCTCGAGTACCATTAAATCAAATGTGTAACTTCAAAAGAGACTAAGCACCGAGTGCAGCTATTTCCTCAAAGTTTTTTTTTGTCCCTACGAATGCCCTATTTTCGTATTACCCATATGGGTTCAGGTAGCCTACAAAGAAATGCTTAGTAATGAACACACCTGGTACCGACATTCTGGTAGTGGTACGGTAGACGTAAGCGTTTCATCGGCCAGTTTATGGGCAACGCTGAAAATCGAATAGCATTTTGCGATAAACTTGTAAATGTGAACTCGGTCGTCGATTGACCCTATCAAGAAGAGCAATCCCACTCGTGAAGAACATTTGACGATCGTCCTTCGCTTGGTGCCGCGTCTTGATCACCGATGATTACCAGCACGTTCTTCTGCATGTCGTTTCCTTCGCTGAAAACGATTTGTAAATGATTTTTGATTCTTTCGAATCTCTCCAGAATGAAGGCCTATTCTAGAAAGGAACTGAAGTTTCGTCGAATGATCTCCCTTCGGCTTACCTTTAATACCTTGCTTATACTGCCCTCAGTAAGGTTACCGATTTACACGGACAGTTAATTATGAGAAACCCACCCAAAAGTTGAGCTCGTTTGTGGGCCAGTGCTGTCCCGGTAAAAGGGACGCAGTTCATGCACCGTGCCAAATCGCATAGGCGCTTTAGCGACTTCAGGCGTATCGGATGACACACTAACGACGGCCGTGATTCATGTCAAGGTTTTTATAGGCAGCACCGAAAGAAATGGTAATACCGTATGGGATGGGATGTGTCGAAGATTTAACAGTGCGTGAAAAATACGAACCGAGTTTGAATGCTTAGGTACTATCTTTTCATGCTTTGCACAGCTCGCACGGCATCGCATTCCATTTCAAAAGTGCTACAATTGAAGGAACCTCCCACGATGGAACTGGTATGATTTTTGCACACAAAAAGCTATGATGGATTGGCAGTGAAGAAAAAAGGAAAAAAATGCCCAAAGCGATGGGTCTGGTCACCACCGTTATCCGGCCGGTTATAGCATTGAGATAAGGTGCACAAAAAGAAAGGAAAGAGAGACAACATAGCGGATAAGAGGGCGCGGAATCTCCCATTCCTCGAATATGGAAAATGGTGGAGGCCGAATCGGTCTTGGCAAAGCCCTAGAGCTCTTACTGCGTACTTTCTGACCGGGAAAACGGGCCTTCTGTCACTCTAATGAACAGCGCTTTATTACTCAACTAGGTATTGATTCACCTCAACTGATCGAGTGGTGTGCCTTTTAGGATCGGGAAACACTTCAGTGTTGCCACTTGATTAGGAAGCACGTTTTCTGGAGCCTAAGGTGCTTCTTATCTCGTCGAAATTGCTTACATGGGATAGGTGACAGTCTCAGCCTTGACTTTATCAGACCTAATATGACTTCGAAAGCAGCAGATCACTTAATGGATCTCCTCTTACGCAGAAACTTCGCCGTATTTTGTATTCCCAAGTGTACGGTCAGCTCTATTCTCCTGATTTTCGAGCATGAAAGAGCTCACTTTTGGAGGATCCCTCGTTGGGACATGGACCTGGTGCTTCTCGGACGGGCGCGCTATCCATTACACCAACAATATCTTCCGCAATTTTTCAGCAGATATACGGATATCGAGATAAGTAGCTTAGCTGATAAGGATAATGAAAGGCGAAGTCAGCATAAAAACACTTTTTTTATTTTTGCCATGTAAGACGTTGCTGCGCTGCGCTATCTACGATGTGTAAATTTTCGAAAGGGATTTTGGATATAGGCAACTGAGAGCTAGGTAATTACGATCACATTGAACTCCCCCCCAGACATCTCAGAGGAAACATTACTGTTCCAAAGCTAAACATAATCGCGATAAGGAAACAGTTGTAGCCACCTGACGTTCAAGTTTTGAGTGACCGTCTTCGCTGTTTCTGCGTAGAAACATTGAACTCGATACGATTTGTCGACTTTTGTCACGAACATCTGAAATACTAAAATGTCAGTGATCAATAAATAGTAAAAAAAAAGAATAACTAAATATCATTTGTGTGCTAGCTTGATCTGAAATACTGACCGATGCGCCTCAGTTTCACTACTGTGGCCATTCAAAGGTAGAGGTAAAGATTAAGGTTTTCAGCTGAGCTTCTTGGGAAAAACATTGCTGTTTTTTGCTTTTATCAATTTTTTTTCTCATTCAAACTTTATTACCATTCAGCTAAATACTTTTTTACTGTTACTTTCACTTTTACTTATCTATATACTTTTTTCACAAATCTCTTGTAGAGAGAGCTGAGATGAGTATTTTCAAACCCCATTGGCAAGGCTAAGAGTTATCACAATTTTTCGGTTAGGTTTAGGTGAAGAATGCCATTTAAACGAATTTATCAGCACATTTGAGCTGAGGATAAAGATCGGAATTTAATAAAATAGTGGTAGTTCCGAGGCCAAAAGAACTTCCTCCCTTCGGATAGATCTTTCTACATAGTATTCCGGTCAGTGAATGGATCGACCCATTTCTCCTGTCAATGGCGAGGGTTAATGGATCTAATGGATTCCCTATTAGGCGCAATGGATGGCAAAACTCAAAAGATGACCAGGGTTCAAATCTGAAGGTCGTGCGACTGAAAGGGTCTACTCCCTTCTACTTTCTAATGGTGATTACGGGTAAATGATCTCCTCGCACCACGCATCCCACATTCCTCCGAAACTTTACTTTTCTCCTTTGAAAAGGTGATGGTCCGCTCCAAGGGGTCGCAAAGTGCAAAAATAATTTCCTGTTTTCTACTTCAGAGGTTACGTGCTGCTCTTATGCTTTATTTTTCATCATTCGTAGGTCGGCCCGTACAATGAATTGCGTTGAGCCGATGCAAAACTCAGTGCTCTAAATCTCTTAGGCTAGTACTGCACAAAGGAATTGGACGGATTGATTGGCTGGCCTTGATAGAATCCGATCCACGAAGAGGTCCTCGGATTGCATTCACAATAGTAAGGAAATCCACTGTTGTCATAGTTTGGATTCATATTACCTCGCTCCCAAGCCCCCTTGCAAGATACAATATGAACACGGTTTGGTATTATACGGTACTGAGCCTAGAGCTTTGTGATAATTAATATACATGTATCAGTCGGTCCGGAATCTGAGGGTCACTTTTTATTTAATGATACGAAAATTCCCAAAATCTCGGAGGCAAGGAACATGCCGTAGCAACCAGTTTTTCCAATCTAAAAAGCTAGCCAGCACAAAGGCACTTTGGATTCTTCGACTAAGACTTTAGTTTATCTAGAAGCTATTTCACTCCCCATTTCTTATGAGAACCTACTAGGGTCTTTCAGAGGCCACAATGAGCAACGGTAATACCACAGTACGGGTAAGGTAGCCTCTTTCACTGTAGGAATTAAGCATTGGAACCCAACATAGTGATGGTGAAACGACCTTCGCCCACAGAGCTCTAGCTATTTCTCTCTCTACTTACCATCCGAATATACCAAACTTTCTTTTTGCAGGCAAAGGTAAGTGAACTGTCACTGTTTTCGCTTCAATCAGAAATTCATTGTTTAGCACGAGAAATGCGCTTTTAAACTTCAAAAACAAAATTGGCGAAAACTTTCCGAGCAACCCAATACCAGAGAATAACGAAAAAATTCAACTTGAAGAAAACCGGGGTAGTCCAGAAATTATAAAGTGACCTAATACATTATTAATTCATGGCTTCATGTTTCATTGCGAAATTCATGGTTTTGTAAATGGAGCAATACGGTAAGAAAAAGAATATCTCTTCTAGGGTAATTTTTATACTGAGAAATAAATCGTTTTTCTGCTGAGAATGAAGATATTCAGATGTTTGGAAGATTTCTTACCGGATGAAAAGAGATGATAATTGTCGACGCTAGCAAAAGTCCACGTGGAGAACTCTGAAAAGTGAAAATCAGCGATAGACAAGTTTCTTTCACATCCCGCAGACTACGCTGAATATCCCTATAATTCTATTGTGCTTTCAACGTGGCGCTACCTTGCGTTGCAATGCCTTCAAAGTACCACTTGACCTCTAGTAATTGCCATTCGCAGTGTCCTCTATATGACATTGGTGTTTTTTTCTGTATAGTAGTTGAACTACGAAAACACTTTCTACTCATTGTTTTCCCCCCGTTTGAATTCCATAACAAAAGAAAACTCAGTGGAGGCGAAATTTCGAGAGCAAAATGCGCAATGCCAGATTTACGGCAGATTGGTCGACTGCACGTCTGAAAATCGTCCCGAGCGAATCGCAGTCACGCCTCATTAATCTTAGGGTTTTTCACGAAGGACCTTGTGAATCAGGTCTGTTGAATCGAAAAATGAGAACTTAACAAATCAAAACTGGTATAAATTTTGGCGAGATTCAATGAATACAAGGTTATTTAGTGATCTTGCAGAAAGATGGTCTTGTTTAGGCTGTTTTTTTAGTTCTGCGACGAAATATACGATGCTCATAAAATCGCTGGACAAAACAGTATTAGTCACACTTGAATGGAACTCAATTGGCTGTTTATGCAGTCGCCGTTTTAGTAGTAAAGTATCTAATACCTTACTAGCGATACGGGCAACATCCTCGCGAAGGTAAAGCTCGCGATAAGCTGACACCGGAAATTCAGAAGTGCCAAATGGTGCGTCTGTGAAAAAAACAAGTTAAATGGTCAAAAATCCAAGAAGCGGCACACTCTCCTTCCCAGTTGATTTCAAATTTGGACGTGTAAGCCCTAGCTCTTGGAAATTTCTCAAATTCTGACAAGTTAGCCGCGGTTGTTAGAGCTTCAAAGTCGCAGTAACTGACTTCAATATTATAAATACTATTACGAGTTATTTTATATATTATCATTGAGTAATTTGTACTGATACTGTGAAGGAGAATCATTATACGCGAAAACAAAAGCTGAAACTAGCAAGGATCAAAAGTGAGGCGACTTGCTCGACTGAAAAGCACTCCTGAGAAGAAAGTCACGCAACATAACCAGGGTACGGTACGTCTCGGCTCCGTTAAACATCTTATAACTTTGTCGATACGGCGCCGGAAACGCCATAGTCGTCTACTTGAACCTCCCACCACCCTCTCTACTACCCATTTTCTTCATGAACATCAAATTTTATCCAAGTTTTGTCTGTAGGGCTTTAAGGCTCTACATGTAGTTTCAATTTTTCTTGGACCAGAATTTTTCAATAGAAAAAACTAACCATATGTCCCTTGGACAAAGTTCATTAGATCTTACACGTTCCCACAGAAATTGAAAATTAAAAATGTGAAGAATCAGTTCAACTGGCTCCCAAGAAAACCTCGTTAGGTTGGGTACACCCTCGTAGAATATTTTGGCAACCTCTCTCCGAATAGCGCATAAGAGTAGTAATTTCTCGAAAACAGCGTCAGAAAACACAGAACTGAGAAAAACAACTCGCCGATCGTTGTCGTAGTACATCACATTCTGCAAATGCAACTGTCAAGTTTGCCGTCCTCTCCAATGATGCGTCAGAACGGCAACCTTCCGACCTTCAATCATTGTTCATTAGAGTTGGACTGAATCAAAAAGTTCAATTCACATGGATCGTTCGGTGGTCCTACACCGACAGCCGCTTTTCTTTAGTGATGTTATTTATGGGTTAACGTTTCCGAGTGGATTGGAATCGGATTATTCGGGTTCGAATCTCTAGATGGCCTTGGAGTTTACTCAAAACTGTGTCATAAATGAACTCCTTTATCCTAGCTGACCCAAACATGCCAATGATACTTGGCTGAGGAATTTTTCCCAAAGTTCAGTGCTGAATTCGCAGGGAAGCTGTACTTTCAGCCTCGGCCAAAAGTCACGGTTCTTTTCGAGCATTAGGCTTTTATCTGAAATTATGACGTAATGGATTAGAGAACTACTGCTTGCTGGGTACAGACGTTCTTCCGATGCCTTTATTGGCAGGATGGAATGAACAACTATTTCACTTCAGCCCAAAAATCATTTTTCTGAGCCGATACCACACTGTGCTAATTTTTATGGTACTTTTAGGATGAATTTTAAAAATTACCGTTCCAACAGATGTGTCTTGAGAGAATGTCAAAAATTTACCAATAATGTCCTTTGACGTAAATATGTCCTTCAAACGGTGACCGAGTCGTAAATCGTACGTTCAAACTTTCACTGCCACATTCTATAACTGGCTCACCTGAAAACGATAGTCGTTTCATAGACGTAGTAAAACCCAGGGTGGTCTCGTGATTGTTCGTCGGCTGGCGTTTCATATGGCCTACTAAAAAACACTACGCCTTCTAGGTGAACGAATTGCTGGGTCAGTGCTGTACGAGGAAAAAACCTTTAGCGGCGACTTTCTTTATAATAAACTTGGCATTGCCAAGGTCATGCTTCAGCCACGAATTCCGACATGCACTCCTAACAATCGTGAGAACTGCTGGAATTTTATGACAGTTCAGAGTGGAGAGGTCTGCCAATTTCCCTCATCTATTGGCAAAGTAAGTTAGTAAAGTGACTAATGCCATATCTAGTCATTTACTGCATATTATTACTCCTTTGTAAATTCACCTTTCTGTTTATCTAAGTGCTTCACAATACCAACGATGCATTTATCAAATGTGTGATAAGAAAATATTTATCGTGGACGCAGAACTTCCACCACGTTTTTAACCACAGCTGGAAACGCGCCACTTAGGTGGCGCAGTGATATATTGGTGGCTACCAAAGGAGGTGACACTTTTGGGGATAAAACGTACACTTTGTCTCAGAAACTTGTCACAGAGTGCTAAACAGTGTTTTCCCCGGGGATTTGCGAAATAAGTGAGTGTTTCTGGAGAAGAAGGGAGACGAACCGTTTTGCTTATTTTATTTACGAAGGTTTCATCCTTGTGTAGTTGACACCGGCTAAGGGATTAAGGCAGAGTCGGTTCTATCGTTGGTACTTTTTGCAAAATTTTTACGACCCCCCTCTTCACAACCACATTTTCCGCCAAAAAACACCGTCGAGCGAGGGAGTATATACGCACCCTGAAACGGCAAAATTTTCTTCAGCGCGCTCTCATCTCATCACATGTTTTGTGCTACCTACAACCCCCCCCCCGTTGCTACTCGTAGGGTTGACCCTGGGTTAAGGGGTTTTTATTGAAAAATCTGAACTGATCAAACTCAAGAATAAGGAATACTTACCCACTAATCCATTATCTACAATATCGGCTAATACCATTGGGACGGCCTGAAAGGGAATTACTTGGTCTTTATGGAATGAACAGAGGAAGTTAGAGATCGGAAGCCTTTTGCAACTCACCAGTAGTAACTGGATTCCTGAAAGCCGTCGAACCATCTGTAAAATGTCAGAAATAAGTGAGACGAATGCGCGACATTGTCGTAGTTAAGCGATGAAACACCACTAATCATTCTCTAAGGAGAAGTTCACCAGCAAAACATGTGAGAAACGAGTATTTTAAATAGCAATCGGTTGAACAACACGTAGAGAGAGAAGAGAATGTGAATCAATATAAACTAGAATATCAAAGAGATTAGATCTACAGGCATGGGAACATTGAAAATAAGTGCAATGATCACCACCACACGGGGTGTTCCGCCTTGCCGAAGACGATGAGGCGTTCCCTCCTGATACGTGACATTCGGCATTGTTACACTCGAATGGAAACGCTACCCTAAAAACTGCCCTTCGATGGCTTGACCTGGAATCGGCCACAACACCCTTATTTTAAGCATTCCTAATCGCATAGGTTGGCCAGGTGGAATGGAGTTCGTTGAGAGAATGTCAGGTGTCTGTCATTCCATCTGCTGTCAGCCATACCCCCAATGTTCAACCCTGTAAAACGAGGTCGACCGGACACACATACACATACAGGGTCGCTCAGTAAGGCCGTGAAAATGCGCTAATCCTCATGTGGAGAAGGAGGCGGGAATTCACTGAGATGAAAGAGGTTGTGGCATGGGGTGGTACTTGACCGGTTCGACCATTCGTCATTGATCGTGTTGCCATCGAGTGTTTCATGGAAGATAGTGGACACACTGAGCATATGGGTGGGACCACTAAAGCCTTTTCTCTCTCCCTATTGGTGATTCATTGCATTCGAGAGGCAAGGCACCAATGAGAATTTCGCAAGGGGATCGATTATTATTGCGTCCCGTGCCTTTAATCCTCAATTCCTAAATTAGACGAATACATTAGGAATCAGTTGGTGAGGGAAAGAATGGACTGTAACAAGTCGCAGTGCGCTTGGCAACCGTATTCAGGTTCTCTAAAGACGCCAAGTGACAATTCGCCACTTGAATTCATTCATAACAAAACGAACACCTTGGATTGGAATGAAGGAAGGTCACTTGTAGTCATTGCATCTGCCGCGATACGGAGAACTTTTTTGTTTCGGAAAGGGCATAATTAATTTTATGAATCATTTGATTGAGGTGCAACTTGATCACAGAAATATTACAACACAACAATAAAGGTAAGTTCAGTTTCATAAGGATGTGTGGAATTTTTCGGGTTGTTTTGTCCTTCCAATGACCACGAAGTAAATTAATGCGCAAAGGGACATTTGTAATTATATTGCACTTTTAAGTTGAGCAAATAACAACTGGAGAGAATGGAAAAGGGCGCTCATGCCGTTGAGGGGGGGGGGGAGAGACATTCGAGTAAGTGAGAAAATCAATGTGTTTGGGACTGAGCGTTAAGGACGCGAAGGGGTCCTAGGGGGACAAAATGAGCTATATGTTCTACCTGTAATTTCTACCGTCTGCGGGCTTAGTTCTGATATAGCCTGCTATTGTCCCTGTCTTGAATCTCCTACATAAGGACATGAGTGCCAGAAAGAGTTGAGGCAATCTAAAAAAATTAAGCCACAAAAGGAAGAACTAGCCCCGGCTGAGGGGCGTATCTTAGGATAAAAAATAAAAATCAAGAAAAAATATGCTACTAATGCGGGAAGCCATGAACCTTTCGGCATGAATGGCTTAAATTCAAGGCCAAAAGTTTAGGTAAGGTTCAGGTAAAGTAGGCTTCCAAAGCAAAGTTCACAGAGGAAAAGGATCCGGAATGAGACCTCCTCAACTGACGATACCGAAGGGCTGTATCTTGGCTATAACAGTTTATGACTTTGATGAAACGGGCCCCATCGGTGGAATGTTCGGTGAACTGTGATTAGTTTATTCCGGTTTTCCATACTAGTTTTCTGTGAAGCAATGAGCCACTAGAGTCACTATTTGGAAAATGGAATTGGCATGGAATGGCGACATACCGGATGGAAATCGACCGAGAACCACTCCGACTGAAATCAGCAAATAGGCACAGCCTGGTCAAATTCGAAGTACATGACAAAAAACAAAAAAAATAATTTTCCCAGCGGATTAAGCTTGTGGTGAAGCCTACCCAAGAAGAAATTTTGCAAAAATTTAAATTTTTCAAACTTTGCCATAATCGCGACAATATTCCGGTGCTCAGCTTTTTCCTCGGACCTGAATCATTTCTGACCGAACTTAGCTGTGACTATTCAAAAGTAACGACTCACTGCGCTCAAGACCTACATATTTACCTGATAAATTAGCCAAACTCACTGTTTCAGGTGAAACTCGGATTAACCAAATATTATCCTCTGGTATCATTCTCTCAAAAGCCAGTCACTCTGTTTTCGGCCGTTGAAGGTTCACAACGTTTCGTAATCAAATATTTTATTTGGCTGATTGGTTACAAGCACATAGTCCCAGGCCCAAAGAAAGTTCTAGGTAGTGAGATTTTCCCAAATGTAAGGAAAGTTCTACGAAGAAGCCTTTTGAGTCTCCCACAAAGAATTTTTAGAGCCTGACAGTAATTTTTCAATTTAGGACCAGAATGAAGCTTCAGCACTAAATAGTCCAAGGAGAAAAAACTTGAAAACATGAGACCGCGTTTATTTCGCAGGACGTAAGCGAAAGTTGGGAAGCCTTGAGCGTCTGGTTGCGCTGAAATACTTGACGATAATTAGGGGTTGAAGATCTATAAGCGTCCGCTGTGCCTTGACTCGATGTTCCGTAAGAACAGCACAAGATGATATTGTAAAACAAACGCAGTGGGGAAATGCAAGCAATCACTTGTTTGAGCTCACAAAGGAGATTATCTCGCAGCTTGAAGTGTGAAGGAATGCAGCTGCTGTCACACTAACCTTCACAGTCCTCAGGGCTATGAAGAGGTATGCGAACAGGATAAAATCTCCTGAGACGGTTCCCAAGGACATTCATGGTATGGCTTGGCACGCATTCTTCATCACTACAAGCACGGTCCTAGGCAGTCTCATATTGACAAGAGCCTATAGGCAAGAACTATTGGGGACGACTGCTTCACCTGCCGAAAGATTGAGACTGAACGAGATGTGACAGGGTTAGAAACGAAGACGTTGGGCCGATTATGGACATGCCCCAGTCCACGTGGAGGTGAAACAGCGTGCTGGTACGGCAAGAGCTGTGAAGGCGAAAGGAACACTTAAAAAGAAAAGTACCGGACTCAAGTGCAGGATGAGCGATGAGCTTCAAAGAAGCCCAAAAAGAGATCCCTGACAAGGATCTCACAAATCAAAGGCAGAAAAATATGCCTTGGATAGACGAAGCGACAAGAGCAGCAGACCATATGACGACGCGTGTTCGAAAAAAAAGAGGAAACGCTCACACTGGAATTCTTTGGGCAGATCGTTATCGGCAAAGTAATCGTTTTTGAGGATTTCCAGCGTTCCGGAGAATTAGACTAGAGCATCTTCCAGGTCATAAGACGTCTTTCGTAATTAATACATAGCAGGGTTTGTGAAGCAAATTTAGTTGTTATCATTATTAGACACCATTGAATCAATGAAAAGTAACGTTCCAGGGAACGCCGAAAGTTGTGGGTCAGAGTGAAGGATAAAAACAGCTTGAGAGCGAACGAGGAAGAAAAAGAACGTGGTGATTAAATATCATTCAAAAAATCACCTTTTTTATCCGAAAAGGCAATCAATTTCAATACGATTTCCTCTTTCAATTCCAATGTTTGAGTTATAGCTAAGTTAGTAGATAGGTAAAAACTTACAGCCAATAGGATTAAGAGCAGCTCAACTATTGACGGGCAATCCGACTTAGAGGGTATGTCGGCCGAATGTGTTCGAATTGCCTCTAAATCCGACGCCTCGCATGATTCCACATTACAAAATCAGCTGTTCCAAATTGCTGTCAGTCAGGTTTCGCAGACACCCCGCAGAGTTCCAACTACCGGACGCTTCTTTTCTGCGGGATGTGCTGGTGGCACAACCATGAGGCGCAATCCTCTTTACCCAGTCCTCCCAAAGCTCCCAGATGGAAGCTGGCAGATCCATCAGGGTTTGAAAAGGATTGGAGCGGGTGAAATGGGTTAGGCACTTATATTTTTATAGTTGTTCCTATACCGTCACCACAATGGACAGGGTCCAACAACCCTTTTGAGGTGCGCCATACATTTAGCTTACAATCATATGAGAGCAGAATTTTTGCACTTGCCAGATTTAGCGCAGGGATCTCCGTTCCCATCTCTCACCACCACTGTCTGATTTTTCAAAGCACGATTCCACTATAAGTTCCAAAATTGAAGAAGGGGGCAGCTTAGCTAGTGGAAAGACAAGCGGGCCCTCTCAGAGTATGGACTCGCAGTTTGCAACGAAGGACATGCACCCGGCGACCTAGCATGGTCCTACTCACGCCACTGTATGCAAGGCACACCCAACGACTGACTAGCCACTCGTCGGAGACCTTCAGCCGTTTAGCAGAAGGCGAGAAAGAAAGAAAGAGAGCGCCAGCGCTGAAGATAGCAGCAGCTAAGAGAGTCGCAGGAATCTGGAAAACTACGCGCAAGGGAGGGAGCCCACTGCTCGGTTCTCGTAAACTTCTCATAGTTTTTTCTTCATTCCGGCACCACTCTACCTTAATTCTAATGGGTTGTCTTCTAGTCGTAAGCTTCACCTTTCACATACGCTGTCACGATTCACCTTAGTCCCACCTTCGGCCTTTTATCTCACCCTTATCTGTACTTTGCTAACTTCAACAAAATAAACGAAAAGGCCACAGCGCAGAATCGCCTTCGTTTTTTTCTCTGGATAACTATCATTTTCAAAAAGTCCACTTCAATCTCCGAAAACCTCTTAACCCCAACTGAGTCCCGTTTCACCTTGCGCAACTACATTGTTCATTTTTTATGACCCTCTTCAAGCAAAATGC